TATTGGCCAGCACGCGCCCAAAATCCCCAGTCCAACCGCGAGCTGGGGCTGGCGATGCCACGCGTCACCCCCCGGCAGCCCTTCGCTTCACCCGTCGCTCGCTGGGGCAGGGCGGAGGTGGATGTCTGCTCCTGCGGGGCTGAGGGGAGGAGGGCAGGGGCCGGCCAGGGGTACCGAGCTGGGGGAAGGGGTGCCGAGGGTCTGGGGGGTGCTGCCCGTGAGGATCAGCTGGGTTTTCTCTGTCACCAGCCTAAACCAGGGGCGGATGACCTCGCCGCTGAACGAGGCCGGCGGGAAGGTGAAGATCCCGGCCCCGTTGTCGGCGTTGATGAAAGCCACCAGCCCCCGCGCACAGTCCAGGCAGACCCAGATCTTCCTGGGGAGTGGGGACTGGGACAGGGGGGTACAAGGGTTGGTGAGGGCCTCAAACTGCCCTCTGCAGTGCGTCACTGCCCAGATCCCTCCTTCAGGGCTGAATTTCGTGGTGTGATCCCTCTCCACAGAATCCCTGGCCACCCCAATGGCCCACCACGAATCACCTCCCACCTCCCCTTGCACCTCCACCTCCCAGCAGTGCCTCCCCTCTCTGAACCCCTCCCAGCCCAGCACGCAGCACCAGTAGGTAAATCTCTTGGGGTTCTCGGGCAGGGACTGCCACGTATGATGCCAGCGCACCCTTCTCCGGTCCGCTGAGAGGACGAGCTTGCTGTGAGCCGTGTCCAGGTCCAGGGTCACCACGTCTGCAAGGGACAGGAGGAGCCAGAGCGTCAGGGGCAGAGCTCGGTCCTGGGCAAGTGTTTCACCACGCCAGGGCCAGGACCTGCTCCACGGGGCATCTCCTTCCTCCCAAAGATGTCCGTCCCGGGGCTGCCCCGGCCGAGCTCTGCTCCGTGGGAACAGGCAACGGTGGGGGCAGGGGGATGGGGAGGCAGTGGCTGGGTCTGGGCAGCGCACAGGGGGCCAGGGGGAGACGGCACCTCTTGGCCCCAACGATGCGGCTCAGAACGGGTGGGAAAGGCAAGAAAACGGGG